GGTACCGTTCGTGACATCATTGAGGCCGGCTAGAGCAGGCATGATCACAGCCATAACAAGTACAAGTACAAACATCGACGACCTGTGTAATTAAAAACATTTATATTGTGGACGATGACACTTTGCCTGTTGTTACCTTATGGCTGTGCGGATCAAGGCGTAATCTTAAGACAGAAAAATCTGGGCCCGAAATTTGTCTATCTTCTGCTTCAGTAGGTATATAACAGCCGCGAGTCGAACGTAGCCTTATAACTTGCTATCGCGTTATCAGAATCAGCTACTTTCTCTTTAACACCTTGTAAATAGCAAAAAGACTCGCAAAAAGGTAATGAACTTAAGCATACCATCAGTGGTATTATCCCAGTAGCAAGAGCTCGCGGTGTGAAGGCCAGCACCACATTTTTGCATTATGACACACGTCACTGAAATACAATTTAATAAGAAATAAATTGAATATTACCAATGTATTTGAAAGGTTTTCCAAGCTTTGTAAGTTGATTAAGAACTTGTTCAATAATCGTCGAAGTCCACTGGTTAACTTTACTGTGAACATAAGTGCTAGAGCCGACAGTATTTTCGATATTCTGGGAGATGAACCATGTCAAAGGTTAAAGTACCTCCTTCACGATGTTAGCTACTTCATCGACGATAAATGTTGTCTATTGAAGATTAAAAAATACGTCAACAAACCTCCTCTGTCGTCTCCAAACCGTCCATGTTCACTCAGCCAAGTTGCTATTAGCGATATTCCTGAAAATCCCGCCAATCGCCCTATGCAAAAAAACGTAGGGCAGTGTACCTGAATTGTTACAAATATAACCCTAATGAATTTTTAAGCTATACCAGCTGTACACAGTTAAACTTACAAGAAAAACGCAAAATTTATTATATTTTAGCTGTTTGGGACGTACACACAGATCGCTGCTATTGTCCATAGGAAGGTGGATATAGATTTGGAATTGTATCTGCCAATTGGTTGTACGGCATCATGTTGAAATTATAATCATTTTAGAACGGTGCGATCCTCACGACGACAGGATAACAATGAAGTATTTTTATTATCTCTATGGAAGACAGCTGTATTGTGTCACCAACTTCCTTCAACTATCACGGCTCTTCTAGCGAGCCCTTAGTTATAACCGATTAAAAACATGGCAAAGTGGGACAGAGAAGCACCATAATAGAAGTATGAAGTGGAGAAAACTCCCCGAATCATCCTTCACCTTTTGAGACCGATGTAACTGGAACAATAACCAACAGCAATGCGTAGTTATCCAGGGCTAAACTGAGTTGAATTTTCTCACCCAGTTGGAAAAGATTTCCACTGTCCTTTTTATGCTTCAGCACATGAGAAACGATATCCTTTATTCGAAATAGAAGGTGACCATTTGGTTAGCCTTCCGAAATGGAATAGAGGTGCAGAATACCGCACCCAAAACGCTGATTGAAGATTGACCACAGCGTGCACATTTGTCGGTATTTCGGTGTCTCGAATTGCAATCATTCAAGGAGCTGTAGCTTTTTCTCCGGAAAAACACTAAAGAGAATGATTCGGATTTTCTTTACTTTCAGCCCGATCCCCTGTTGCATATGTCTTTTTACTTTTTCTGTGAACTTGCAATAAATAATTTAACTTGCAAATTAATAAACAGTCGGTATCTGTGAAACCATAGCCAATTAAGATTGCTTTCAACAACATAGACTAGG